ACACACACGCACATACGCACATACGCACACACGAGATAGACGAAATTTAATTTTTAAAATGGGTTCAAACGCATTAATTAAAAAAAATACAAAACGTGCTACTCGTTGACCTCCATCTTTTTTTTTTCTTTCTTTCTCATTTTATTAAAACAATGGCGAGAAATATTTTTATAAACGTCCTTCCCTTTGGCATTATAAAAGCATTTCTTTCCGAACAACCCTCTTTTGTAAATTTCACTTTTTTTTTTTTTTCAAACAAACACGCATTCCGTTTGTTTCCCAACTCTCTCTCTCTCTCTCTCACACTCTCCATTTACTTTTTATCAATTATAATAATTATTATAAAAAAAATTTTTTTTTTGCTCACCCTTTAAATTTTCCGGTCCTCCTCGTTTTTGTCATCATTATCAACAGCGACAGTTTCAAACGGAAAACAAAGTAATTAATTTTCCGGAAAGGATCCCTGAAAAAGAAAAAAAATCATTATTTCCGGTCGGTAATATTCACGTCATTTTTCTCATCGGTTATCAACTATTATTTATTTATCGGGGTAACAAAAAAAAATTATTTTTTATTAAAAATTATTAGTTACCACGTGCCGTTCGTCTGATTATTCGTCAAGGTGGTACATTACGGTCCGTTTAATGTTTCGCTTACGGGAAGGTTATATAAAATCGTCGTTAAAACCTGTACAAACTAGAAACACCCGTTCAAACAAAATGTAATAATAAGAAAATGATAAAATCGAATCGAATCGATCGGTAGTTAGTTAGTTATTCGCACTACTCGGTGGCTAAAGTTTTTTTTTTTTATTTTTATTTTCGTTCGTTTGTTTGTTCGTTTGTTTTATTATTATTATTATTTGTTTATTTATTATTTTAATATTATAATTTTCACGACGTAATTGACAATGCTTGTAAGTTTTTTTTTTATTTTTATTAATAATAATAAAATTTACATAATTTAAATTTTTTTTTTTTTTTTTAATTTAACGTTTTCGGCCTTACTTGACCTAGACAAACTCTTTATAATTAATAATAATAATAATAATAATAATAATAATATTTTATTATGAAATATGTGTGGGTAAAATTTTAATTTAACAAAATTTATTATTTAATCGAGTAGTTTTATTTTTCTGTGTGTTACTCAAGTAATAAATTAAAAACTTGTGGGATTTCGTAACAATGTTTAAAAAATTGAAATCCGTATAAATAATCGATGCCTTTTGATTTATGTACATTTGAATTAAAATTTTAATCATTCAATCATATTATTATTATTATTATTATTACTTTGTAAAAATTTTATGGCGAGTAATAAAAAATAATAATAATAATAATAATAAATTAAATTAATATGGAGGACGATTGCACGGATTAGAAATTTCATATCGCGTCGTATGTTCGTTCCGTCGTTCTTTTGTAATTTATTATTATTATCTTTATATTTTATTAAATATTTCTAAATTTAAAAATTATAATTAATAATAATAATAATAATAATAATAATAATAATAATAATAATAATAATCATAATCATAATCATAATAATGTGTACCGGCGGCGGCCGCCGCTTTCTATAATTTTCCAAAAAATTTATAAATAAATTTTAGGGTTTTTCTTTTGTTAATTTTTACTTATTATTATTATTATTATTATTATTATTAGCGGATTAAATGACGCGCCTAACGGACCTTACATTCGAGAAAAAATATTTTTACGCGAAAGAAAATTAAACTGCGACGACTACGACTACTGCCACTACAATTATTATTATTATTTTTAGTACTCAAATGCAAATTCCAGAATTTATTTTAAGCGTGCAATTTTTTATTTTGATGTTGCGTGCCGTTAATTGATTTTCAAGTGTTCATTTTTATCGCCTATTCGCGAGTAAATTACTAAATATCGAAAAAGGAATAATAATAATGATGATGATGATGATGATGTTGGCGACGGGAATTTTAATGCGTGAAGGGATTGTTACTGCTACAACCGTTCGAAAAGTTTTTTTTTTTTTTTTTATATTTAAATTAAAAATGACGTTCTAGAAACTCGATCGACGTGGAAAAAAAAAAATTTATAACAAAAAAAATCTTGATTTTCCGATGGAGAAATCAATTGGTAAACTAGTTGTGACAAGCAAATTGAAAAAATGTAATGTTGGATTAACAAAATCAACGTTTAGCTAATCTGTTGGATTAATAAATTAACGTTTAACTAATCTATTGTGTAAAAAAAATTGTTTGAATTAAATTTGCCTTTTCTTTAATTCTATTAGACTCAGTATTAGAAAGATATAATAAAATTTTTCATTTAAGAAACCATTCGAACGCCCTCGTCCCTTGCGCCCCTTCTGCGCCCCCACCCCGTTTTGAAATCTAATCAAATGGATTTTTTTTACATTGCAGAGTTTATCGCTGTTTGGAAAATCCAAAGGAGGTGATGGTAGAAGCATGTCTGTCGAAGAATACAACATGAATCCCGTTTCAAAGGAAGGCCACGTCAATAGCGGGTATGTCGATGTGAACGTAAAAAAACAAAAATTTTTTTTGAAAAAATTTTCCGGGAAAATTTTCTTTTTTTTTAAAAAAAAAATTTGATAAATTTCCGCTCAACCAATTCAAAATAATCGAGAGGCGACCTCAAAATAAATTAATATCAATAAGAAAATTTGTATTCGCGTTTAGATTACAAGTCGCCCGTTTTTACCAAGCAACCGGAAACGAATTCCGTTAGCGGAAGTAACAAATCGAATCGAGAGAGAAAAAAAAATTTTTGTGTCGCGCGAGTCGTCTCAACAAAATTTCTTAAAAATTTATTAATTTCCCGCCTTTTTTTAAAAAAAAAAAAATTTTAAACACCTGTAAAAAAAATTTCCATAATAAGCTTTCAATGTTTAACTTCCTGTGTCTTTTTTTTTTTTTTTATCTTGTACATAGTGTGTACTACTGACTTTGTAATAAAAAAAACAACCGAACAACCGACCGACCGACCCATCATCGTACCTTGTAATTAAATTGTACATAAAGTTGCAAAAAAAGAATTTCAAAATCCCTTTTACAAATAAATTATTTTCAATTACGGTAGTAATAATAATAATAATAATAAAATTACGTCACGTGATGTTTTCTTTTTTTCAAAATGGCAGTAAAACGATTTTATTTAAAAAAAACGCTCACGTGAACTTTGTCACAGACAGTTATTATCACAACCCGAAAATTAATTTTTTTAATCAAATCGTAAATCGTATCGGTATTTTATCAATAATCGAACCTTAAATTTTTCTAGAAATTATACCCCTCCCCAGGAAAATAATATTGGGGTCAAAAAAAAAAGGTACTCGTCGTCGTTTCAACTGATCGGCAAACGAATACAAGTAGTTTACTAATAAAAAAAAAAATTGCAATAAAAAAACAAACACAAGCATTTGCTTCCTGGATTAAGAAAACGTTTACTGTTTTTTTTTAATAGAAAAATTATAACGCGTATGTTTAACTTATAAACGAATAAAGTAAATTTATAAACCGATAAAGAAAAAGTTAACGGCTTGTTTTTTTTTTTAATATTATTATTATTATTTTTCGTACGCGCGAAATGACGCGAAAGGCCTTTTAATAAATAAATAAATAAATAAATGAAAGACGCATTTTGTGAGATTATTAACATTGAAAAAAATAATATAGATATATATCGTTTAATAATTTTCAAGGTGATTGTGAAAAAAAAAAAAAATTTTCCCACAGTTTTAAAAAAAAAATGGCCAACGCCCGGATTTTAACGAGTTTTAATTTTTTTTTTTTTTTTTTTTTTAATGAGGAGGAGTAAAAATTATAATAACCAGGATACGTTTTTACTCCATTTTTTTTTTTCAATCTTTTATCCGAATTATTTAATTAAATACCTGATCGCGAGCAACGTGTTACGAATAGATAAAAACAAAAAAATTTTTCCCTTCGATCTCATACCGGGAAATGTTTCAATAATTATTATTATTATTATTATTTGGCTCTTTTATAGCTCGTTTGCCAAAAAAAAAAAAAAAACAAACTCCATAAATTGCAAAACGAAATTTTTTTATTTATTTAGTGTAAAAATGTCATCGACTTTTCGCACGATTTAATTTTCACGTTTAATAAAAATAATAATAATAATTTAATTAATGAATGAATCATTTACGGTATTTAATGTGACGTTATTAAAACAATAAAATAAGTCTGTAGGAAAAATTTTTTTATTTTATGACGACGACGACGACGACGACAACAACAACAACAACCGAAAAAAAAACAAAAAAAAATTCCACTCACATCGACTAACTTGTAAAAAAAAAAAATTTTTTTTTTTAAAATAAATTTTACAATAAAACTCACGACGGGTTTGGGAGGAGTGGGGGTAAGTGCGTAACGCACATAAAGTAACAATAATAATAATAATAATAATAATAATAATAATAAACATTAACCTACATTTATAAAAACTTATCACATTAAAATTTGCTGGAAAAAATAAAATACAAAAAAAAATTTTTTTTTTTTTTTTCCGTTTCCTTTGTTAAAAATCGAATCCGAAGGTTTTTTACATGACATTTTACACGTCGCTACTACTACCGTAAATATATTTAAATTCCAGACGGACAAACAAACAAACAAACAAACATTCGCAAATGCGTTTGTTTGTTTGCAACGAAAAATTTATTTTTCTTTTCAGGATTTTTCCTTTTTTTTTTTTACGCTTGTTGTTGCGTAACGTGGTACTTAGATTGAATCGAATGGAAAGTTTTTTTTTTTTTTTTTTTTTTTTTTTTTCTTGGGGAGGCTTTAATTGTTTCCAATTCATTTTCGATGTGCGTTTTGTTTTAGCTGAGGTGGGTGTCTTCGCGTTATTGGACGTGTATATCCCGTGTTTTGAAGGGGGTCGATACGTTTCTCTTTTTATTTTTTTATTTTTTTTATTATCTTGTTATTGTTATTGTTTTTTTTCCCCCAACCGATTGTTATGAATGTGTCAGGGTTATTTCATATTGTTTTTTAATGGTGCACTTTTAGACCAACGCTTCACTCCTTTCAAGACAACGATGGGAAAATATCCAGAAGGCACAGTTTGTCTTCGTCGTTTTATCATTTGTGAGTTTTTTCTTTTTTTTTTTTGTTTTGTATTTCGTTTCTTTTTTGTTTTATTTTATTTTATTTTATTTATTAAGTTCTTATCGTATTTTTCTTTCTTTTCCTATCTCTTTCCGATTTCTTTGTTTTGTGATATTGTTTCACACTTGCACGAAATTTAAAAAATTTCTTTAAAAATATATAAAAATAATATTTGACGGACTTAAATTCAACAGGAGAAGGCAATCGAGAAATCGTTCAAAAAGTTTCAAAGCTGGAGAATGTCAGGGAAATCATACCACGAGGAGAAGATCAATCGCTGGAACTTTTATAACGGATCCCGCGTTAAAATTACCACCGAGACCGAAAGCTAACAGGTAGCTCGAAGAATGTGAAGAATGTTTTGTCGTTTTTCCTGTCTTATTTCACTGTGGTTTATTTTTATTTATTTATTTCACACTTCCGGTTCTGTCACGATTGATGAAATATGTTATGTATCGAATTGTCGATTGTTGTTGTTGTTGTTATTTTTTCTTGTTTGATCTGTCGCTTATTAAAAAAAAAAAAATTTTATTTTTTTTGTTTTTCTTTTTCTTTTTCGGCTTGATCGTTTTCGTCGACAGAGATCAATATATAATCTTTGACTTTACTTTATTGTTCTGTCGTCATTTTTTTCACTTTTGATTAATTTTTTATTTTTTTGTTTGTTTGTTTGTTTTTCTTTTGCCTGATGCAATTTTTATTTATTTATTTGGTTATTATTAACGTTGAAGAGGTTGATGTTGTTGATGGATGTTATTAGGAAACTTTGTTTTTTTTATGTTTTCATCGTTGGATGTCTGATCTTGTTTGTTTGTTTTCTTTTTTTCGGTACGAATTTCGGGCGAAATTGTTGAGTATTTATTTAATGATTCGCAATGAAAATCGCTTAAATATTATTATTATTAATTACAACTATAAACTAATTTTAACAATTTCACACGTAAAAAAAAAAAAAAAATTTAACAACTATTATATAAAAATAACAAATAATTTTGTTTTTGTTTGTATTTTCAGGTTGATTTTTTACATTTTTTTTTTTTTTACATTACATTACATGTAATTTTTAACGTTTTTTTTTTTTTGCATATAAAAAAATGCATTTAATTTTATTTAATTTCGAATGAAAAAAAAAAAAAATTTATCTTGCTAATACTTATTCTCTGCTATTTATTTTGTTATGCGTTTGTTTATTGTTTTTATATCGATATTAACCGGAATAATTTTTTTTTATATTTTAATTTGATTGTCATTTTTTGTTAATTAATTATTAATCGTTTGCATCAATTATTATTATTAAATGTACGAAAATTTGTTTTCGTCGCCGGAAAACTTTGAATAACGAATTTTTTATTTCATGTAATTTATGTAGTTTTGCACCTGATGGAAAACGAGATGATGCGAATGGAGTTTTTGAAAAAGATGAAAAATTTAAAGAACCCGAAGGTGACTACGATCCGTATCAAGAAAGAGTTGTAGATCATCCTACCACGTATGTTTTTTTTTTTTTTTTTTCATTTACTTCACTTTTGGAAAATCGTGCAAAAATGTTAATGTTTTTTTTGATTCTCTCTGTAGAAACACGGAAACGTTGTTGCATCTGCTAAAAGGGTCTCTAGGTACGGGAATATTGGCCATGCCAAACGCTTTTCATAATTCCGGATGGGCTCTCGGTTTGGTTGGCACAATAGTCATCGGAATCATTTGCACTTTTTGCATACATTTACTAATTAAAAGTGAATATGAACTGTGCAAAAGGCGTAGACTTCCAGCATTGAATTATCCGGCAACAGCAGAAGCCGGATTACAAGAAGGACCGGCATTTTTCAACAAAGTTGCTCCGATATCAGGGTTAGAAAATTTTTTTTTTTTAAATTCTTGATCTATTTTTTTTTTTTTTTTAAAGTTTCATTTTTCAATAATAAAAATTAATTTTCTTTCATCAGGCACGTCGTTAATTTTTTCATATTAGCATATCAATTGGGGATATGTTGCGTTTACGTCGTTTTCGTTGCTTCGAACGTCAAAGACGTTGTCGACGTCTACTGGTACAAAATGGACGTCAGAATTTACATGGTCATTTTTCTACTTCCTCTTATTTTAATTAATTACGTTAGAAATCTTAAATATCTGGCACCGTTTTCTGCCGTTTCAAATATAATTACGTTCATCGGTTTCGGTATCACTTTGTATTATATTTTTTCGGAGTTGCACGGTTTGGACGAAAGAGAAGCCATCGGTGAAGTACAGAATTGGCCATTGTTTTTCGGTACCGTACTTTTTTCACTCGAAGCCATCGGAGTGGTAATTATTAATTTTATTTAATTTTTAAAAATCTCCATTTTTAATAATTTGAAATTATTAATTGATGATGCGTTTATTAAATGTGCAGATCATGCCGTTGGAAAACGAAATGAAAAGTCCAAAATCATTCGGAAAACCATTTGGAGTTTTGAACGTTGCCATGGGTCTCATCATCGTTCTCTATGTCGGTATGGGATTTTTCGGATATTTAAGATACGGTGAAAACGCTTTGGGAAGTATAACTCTGAACATACCTTCGGAAGATCCGTAAGTTTTCCAAAACTTTTCCAAAATGCTTCTTTATCATTTTCAAAATTTTTAATAATAATATTTATTTTAATTGTGCGTTTCTCGCAGATTGGCTCAAGTTGTCAAGATTACCATGGCTTTTGCCATATTTATAACTCACGCTCTTCAAAATTACGTAGCCATCGATATCATATGGAATGGTTATTTGGCGCCATCATTTGAAAAAAATGCTCATAAATTGTATTACGAATTTGCCGTCAGGACTCTTTTGGTCTTGTTCACATGTACGTAACACACATTTAATAAAATATTTTTTTCTTTTTTCATAACTTTTTTCCTAGCATGATTTACATCAACTTGCATGAACTAATAATAATAATAATAATAATCACTTTGATCACCGTTTTTTTTTTTTTTTTTTTGTTAAAAATTTTGCAATCTTACAGGAAAAATAAGTCGAAAATATTTACATGCAAGGATTTTGAAAAAAAAAACTTTTAAAATGTTCGTTAAGAACACACGTTTAAAAACAAAAAATTATTGTTTCCAGTTTTGATGGGAGTTTTAATTCCCAATTTGGAGCATTTTATTTCTTTCGTCGGAGCTGTGACTCTTTCTCTTCTCGCACTCTTTTTTCCGGCGTTCATTGAAACGTCGACTTTTTGGTATCAAAAAACTGGATTCGATTTCTACTGGATGATGTTTAGAAACACTTTAATAACAATTTTTTCGTTAATGGGTCTTATTATAGGAGGATACACTTCTATACAATCGATTATATCGAAAGATTTATAGAACTTTATACAAAGACAATAATAATAATTACAATAACGATAGTGCACTTTGTTCACAAAAAAAAAAAAAAACATAGTAATAATTTTAAACGATTTTTCACATTTTTATCATTAACTAATTTTAAATAATAATAATTAAAAAAAAAAAACAAAAAAAATTTTTTAAATTAATAACTACTAACAACAAAATATTAACAAAATAAATAAATAAACTTTTTGAACGAATCACATTCGAAAAAAAAACAATATAAACATTTTTAGTGGTGTTGTTGCATGCTATATACGAAAAATTCATCTGAACACACGAAGAGAATAAAATTGGCGGGAATTTTCGTTTAAACATAAACGTAAGAAATTTATTAAATTTCCCGCTTGCTGTGTTTCCTTTTTTAATACGCAGATCCGGATATTTTTTCTTTTTTATGTGTTTTTATTAAATGTAAATGAATTATTTTTTATCTCTTTCATTTTCGCAAAAAATTATCATCATTATCATTCCTTATTTTAAATTTTAGTATCCTTTGTTTGTTAATCCTTAAGGCAAAATTCACGTGCTTACGACAAACCAGTGCACTTATTTAAACGCACATGCACGCTTATTATTATTATTTTTTTTTTCATTTCTTCACAGCACATTGTTTTTTTTTTTTTTATTGTAGATTATGTTTTTATTTTATTGTTTTTAATTTTTTTTAATTTTTAGCAAATATTTTAGAATAGGTTTCCTGGGCTGCACACCCGGTCTCTGTTTCGTGTCTGTATGGGTGTTTGTGTGTTATAAATTTCCATGTAAATACTAATTGATATAATTGAATTTTTACAGTCCTCCTCGGTGTTGCCATCCCCAATTTGGAATTGTTCATTTCCTTCATCGGAGCTTTTTGTTTAGCCGCCCTAGGAATAGCTTTTCCAGCTATCATAGATCAATCGACGTTTTGGTACCACAGAAAAGGATGGGCTTTTGTAAAAATGTCATTTAGAAACATATGTCTCATACTTTTTGGAATATTAGGACTCGTCATCGGAACTTACGTATCTATATCGAACATCTACGAACATTTTTCAGATGGTTCGCTTTAGGATTTTAAAGCAAAAAAAACAAATTTTTGTTTTTTGTGCATAAAATCTTTCATGGTTCGCCATCACGGATTGATTAACCACCGATCGTTTTTATATTATATACGTGCGAATAAATTTTCCCTAGTCTTCCAAAAAGTGAGATGAACGTATAAATTAATTAATTAATTATCAATAATTATTATTATTATTATTTTTTTTAAAAAAGTAAATGATATAAAATGAAATGAAATGAAAAGAGAAAAAAACCCCCATGATACTTTGATTGTTTACGCGCCATTATTATAATCAAATATTTTTGCCATATGTATTGTTACAGAACAAATGGAAATATTTGATCAATAATAATGATAATAATATTATAATCAGTAATAATAAATAAAAAAAATGAATTCAATCGATCGTATGTAAAAATTAAATACTCAATAATATTTAATATGGAAAAGTTTTAAAAGAAAACAAAATATATATATATATATATTTTTTTTTTACGTCGCACATGTAGAAACGTAAAAAAAAAAAAAAGAAAAAAACAAATTTTGAAATGTATTTCCGTCTTCCGTCACTTTCAAAAAAAAAAATTTAATAACTTTTATTTTTTTATTTATTTATTTATTTTTTTTTACAAATCAATAGCGGTGGAACCTATTTTACGACGACATACATATATATATATATATTGTTTCCTTCTAAAGACTTTTTGTATTTTTTTTTTAAATAGTATTATTATTATTATTATTAGTATTAATATTATTATTATTCTTCCGTATTCTATTTTTCGTATGTTTTAGCTCGTGATTTGTTTTTTGTACATATAGTATTAAATTGTATACGACGCAAGAACGCATGCACACGCACTCATACACGCACAATATATATATTAATAAATTGATTCATAAATTATAAATTTAATTAAACAAAATTTGAGGGTAAAATTATTTTATGTGCGTAAGTATGTGTGTGTGCGCGCGTGTGCACGTGTGCGTATATGAATGTATACGCTTGTGATAAAGTTGTACAAAAAAAAAATAAGCTGGATTGTATTATTATTATTATAAAAAAAAAAAAAAGAAAACGATTATTATTATTATTATTCGTGTCGTATGATTTGTACAAGTTTTTCGTTTATTGTATCGACATGAAAAATAATTTTTTATATATAAATTTATGTACTCCATATTTAAAAAATATTTTTTATACGTATTTACATAATTTTAATAAGAAAAAAAAAAAAAACTAAAGTTAAATGAAAGTTTAAATAAAAATTTTAAAATTTTTTTCCCATTTTTATTTTCGATTATTATTTTTTTAAGTCGGACAAATTATAAAAAATTTTACAATAACAACCCGCCCCCTTCCCCCTTCAAAAAAAAAAAAATTTTGTATTTAAACAACGAAAAAATTTTATTTTTATACCGATTTGTAACATTTTTTTAATTTTTTTTTTTTTTGTTTTTAAAATTTTAGAATAATTGATAGTTTGTAATAAAAGTTGAGAGAAAAAAAAAAAAGAATTATTTTACGAAAGACGTAGCTAATGAATTGTAATAATAATAATAATAATTTAAGTTAAGTTATATTTTTTTCGTAATTTGTTCAATTTAAATTAAATATGATAAAATGCATGTAATGTATAACACACAACAAATGAATAGAAAAAAAAAAATTTTTTTTTTTATCAAAACAGGCCGTTCACTACAGCATCACGAATTAAATAAATAAATAAATAATTAATAAATTAATAAATGGGCAATTCAAAAAAAAAATAAATAAAAAACTAAAATTCTAGTCGGTTATTTTTGATCATTTAAAATTAAATTTTTTTATAAAATTTATTATTTTTAAAAAAATTTTTCAAATTTTGTATATTTTATCAAATTTTTAATAAATCAAGTTATTAAAATATATAAATATATATATTTATTTATTTAAATAATTAAAAAAAAACGGCCAAAAGAGAAAAAAAAATTTTTTTTTTTTTTTTAATAAGGTTGTGCATTTTATTAAAATTGAAAAGAAAATAATGATAATAATAATTAATCTGATTGTTAATATGATATGTGTAACGGTTTTGTGCAATGACAATATTACAATAAATATATATATATTTTATAATAATTGTCAGGGTAAAAAAAAAAAAATAGAAGAAGGGTTGTGATTTATGCAACAGCAAAAAAAAAAAATTTTGTTTTTTTTTTTTTTTGACAAATTTTATAAATATTTATATACATTTATATATATATATATTTATATAAATATATATTTGTTGTTGTTGTTATATGTAAATAGTAATAAAATGGCAATTATTTTCAAAAAGAAAAACAAAAAAAGTAAAAAAAATGTTTTTTTTTAAAAGTGTGATGTGTATATATATATAAATAAATAAACTATGAGCCCATTTTTAATTAATTTTAAATATTAATAATAATAATAATAATTAGTTTTTAAATTAAAATATACGAACAAAAAAAGAATAAAATGTTTATTTTATTTTTTTTTCCCCCCCCCTAATTTCCTGTTTTTTCTTAAGTTTTTTAAAATTTTAAATTTTCAAAATAAGAATTTACTTAAATGGTATGCAAATCATGGAATCTCATAGAAGTTTTAAATAATTAAAAAAATAATTTAAATATTAATTCGCGAAACAAACAATACAAACAACAAACAAAAAAAAAAAAAAATAGAAAAATAAAAAAGATGTTTTTAATATTTACCATTTTACCGTTAGATGATGCTCAAATGTTCTCATTTAAGGCTATCACCATGTAAAAAAGCTCCAGCATAATAAATTTCATTTTTTCACTGTTTCCATTTTCCATCACTCGCGTCACTACTTGTCATTGATTTTATACGTGAGATAGAGAGAGAGATCCCTTAAAAGAAAAAACACATTTCACGACGTTAAGTAAAAAAAATTGGTTCTTTTTTTTTTTTTTTTTGGTTTTTTTTTCGGTTTTTTTTCTTTTTTTTTTTTTTTGTAAATTCGTTTAAATAATTCAAAACGTATTCAGACGTATCCTCATGGTTTACGTCTCGAAATCGGGAATTTTTTATTCACTTTTACATATTTATTAATATTTCAAATTTTTTTTCATTAAAAGGAAAATAAAAAAATAATAATAATAGTTTAAGTGAAAATCATTGATTTTCATCAATTTTTTTGGTGTGTTTGATAATAAGTTTACCTGGGAAAAATCGTAGCTAATAAATAATCGAAAAGGTGAGAAACAATCAGTTTTATATTTGTCTATTCATTTATCTTCTTTATTAAATTGTATTATATCCTTTTTACATTTCAATGTATTA